GTGATTCTATGAAAGATGCTCAACAGACAACAATATCAGGAAAGCTAGAGGTCCAAAGGCTCCCACATATTATTTTGGTCAGATTGTGGTTCTCCCAATACAGTTCCAATGTTGGATCTTGTTTCTTGATCCTTCGGAAAGTTCCAGAAAGAATCAGAATTCTCGAAGAAGATGTAGAAAGCAACGAGCGATGCAAAAAACAGCCCCAAGAGAAGTAAATAGATCTGCCATTCTGCAAATATACAAAAGGAAAGCAAGAAAAACTTATATTAGTCAAAATTCGACCAAAAGAAGAAAGGTTGAGGCAATGTAGATGAATAGCGAGAGACCTTTCCAATCAACCGGGACACTCAATTTTGTCACCATTACACCCCATTCTTTAGAAGTAGTAAGTATCACCCTGCAAAGTTAAAACAAGCAGATATTCTAATTGATTGAGAAACTTATCATTGTAATAGGAATAAGAATTTTCTATTGTTTTCTAATACAGTGCTTTTCTTCAGTTAGCATTTCATTATTTAAAACACACACACACACACACAAACATACACACAAACACACACACACACACACACTCTTCAAGCATTACCTTTCACTAGGACACAACTCCAATGACGCAATATCAGAACCCAGGTGTAGCCTCTTACTCAAGTGGCGAACTTCCATCTTTTTAACTTCCACAACACATATATCTCCATCTTTGCTTCCCCTATGTTTAAAAAAGAGAGATGATTTTCATAAGTACAAGGAATACGTGAAAATGCTCTACATAACATGCCATCTAGTAACAATCACATAAAAAAAATTTTGACATTCAGTAAATAAGGAATAGAAAAAGGTAAAAAAAAAAAAGGTTTGGTTCAGAAATACGACAAAGAACATAAAGAAGATTGAGAAAGTAACAAGCACTTACAGAGCAAGATATTTTCCATCCAAACTAACAGACATTATTGAAGCTGGCTTATTAAGCAACCTCTTGTGCCCAATTTTTTTCCATTCACTTATATCCCAAACAACAGTCAGTGGTTTATTTCCTGTATTTAGACAGTCGGTCATGATCAACCATCCATCTTTCAGTTAAATAATATTATAGGGGCGACTGACCTCTTTGAACAGTGCAAAATAAAAACGGTCTCGTCCCATCTTTAGAAAACCGGCAATGTTCAATCTTCTCATCCTGCGACGTGGAAAGGAAAAGTTCAACATCAAACCCTACAGGTGTAATGACTTTGCATACTTAAGAAGAACTTACAGGGTTCCGTGCCAAGGTAGTAATTGGACCCCCATCACTTGTATTCCATATTCTAGCTGACCCATCGACAGATGTAGAAGCTAGAAATTCTGAATCTAAGCTGCAAGAAAAAAATTCAACACCTAAATAGGTATTTCACCAAGGGTGGAGCACAAGCGCCAATTATTGGAGAAGAGGCAGCAGAGAAGTTCAATTATTTTAACTAAGAAATAGACACCAAATACTTAATGCCACTCATGGTAAATGCATATGCATGCCTCGGTGTACATGGGTGTGTGTGTGAGAAAGAGAGAGAGACAGATAGATAGTGAGAGAGAGAGAGAGAATTACGCAAAGCTCATTTTACCTAAAATCCATGTCCAGAAATGATTTGTGAGCTCTTGGTTCTTCCAAAATTATGCGCATGCTTGGCCACTCAAATATTCTAAGACACCCATCCTTCATGTAAATAAAAAAAAAATAAAAAATAAATAAATAAATAAATAAATATAATGGCGATGGCACTTGCAGATACTAGAAAACAATGGCAACATTACAAATAAGCTTACAACTCCACCAGTAGCAAATCTAGTTCCATCAACACTAAAAGCCAAGCATTTTTGCAGGCCAATTCCCTGCAGCAGAAGCTGCTCCTTTGCTGTTAGATTTATCTTGCCCTCCCTACTATCCAACTCGAACAATCTGTAAGAAATATTTAAGTAGATCAACCATTGCCACAATACTTATCAAAACAACAACTAGTTGGGAAAAAACCAAAAACTTTGCCCTTTTTTACCTCCACTCCACCAAATTTTCCACATAAGGAGGTAAAAACTACACTAGACACTAGTTGTTCTAAAATGAAGTGCCAGTAACGTGGTGCATAATCTTTTAAAAATAAGTATTATGGCCTTATTTGGTAAAGAGCTTTTTGAAACTAAATTAGAGGTTTGATGAAGAATTAGAGGTTTGGCTTGTTTAAACATCTAATTTGAGTATCTGGTAAACAAATAATTCAGTTAGTTTATTAGTTCCAAAATCCTGATTTTGAAAAAGTTGGGCATACCAACTTTTGGGAACGGGTGATTGTGAGAAAGAGGATTGAATATTAGATTATTCAAATATAAAGAAAAAAATTAATCAATATGTTAAAGTTGAAATATATTTTTTATTCATCTTCCTTTTTTTACTTTTTCCGTCTAATTGTTGGTCTGTTGCACCTTAACTAAATTCATTAGTCCTTTGTTTTTTTAATTAATGCACCCTAATGGCAGACCTTGTGGGTGGTTCAGACTTTCTAAATTTTATAAGTTTATTTTTCTCTTTTTTTCTTTTATATTTTATATTCTCCTAAAAGTATAATATGTTTATTAGTAATTCAGATACAAATTTCAAAAATTATTTTATAGAGTAGCTCATAGATGTAAATAGTGACTAAATAATTATATAACAAGACCTATTTTATGCTCCATCCATTTAGAAATAATAACATTTTTTTTTTTTTGGCTTGGTCTATGTAGAAATTTTATATGTTATTATATATTTTTCAAAAACCACTACATTTATTAATATTTCGGGAAAAGGTAAAATATGGTTCGATAAATTACAACAATATTCTTATTAGTCATTTACTACATTTGAGTAGCTATTTGGCTATCAGCTGTTTACCACACAATATATAAACCGCTACTACAGTAGGCTTGTCAAACCAGCTAACAATAAACTATCCACTAATTATCAAACAAGGCCTGTATGTGCTGAAGAAGAGAAGCCCTTTTATGAACTCAGAAACTGAATACTAAGGATATAGCAATAGCACTAGGACAGTAGTATTTCTACAGAATTCAATCACCCAAACCTCCTTAACCAAAGGTGCCAAGTAGACAAAACATGCAACAAGGTACCAACTAGATAAAGTCACGACAATGAATCAAGTATCTAGAGAAACTTACAGAAATCACATCAAGCATATGAAGAACAGAATCGTGTTCTTTCTAAACACGAAAGAGAATCCTATAAAAATCGAGTATATGAGTAGAAACTAGCAAGTCAGAACTATAGAAGAAAATAAACAAGTTTTCCCACGTTGCAAATGATACATTAGTTGAAATCCAGATAACCAGGCACATATGCTATAATCTAAACCTATAACCAACAGTTAAAAGCTGGAATTAGAAAGTGAACAAAAGAAACAAGAACTGTAATAAAGAAAGAAGGCAGATTCAGACTTGCAATCACCAGTGCTGGTGGAACAAACCAATTCATCTCCACTGGGATGTACCGCAATAATTACCGGACCGATCCCTTCTTCGAATTCATACTTGGCCTGCAACAGAAAGAAGCCATTCACAAATGGGTACAGCATACAAGCACTCGAAACCCTACATTAACTCCCTCCATAGATATAATTTTTTTGCTGAGTATTTGATGTTCCTACATTATAATATTTAATGAAAAAAAAAAAAAAAACTATTCATTAGCAAACAAATGGTTACTGCAACAGAGAGATAATTGGGATAAAAGTAAACCCTAACCTTGGGAGAAGCGGAGAGCGACACGGTGTTGGGATCGAACGAAAAAATCTCGAGGGAAGAAGGTCCGGATTTTCCGATCACCGCTAAATGCTTATTGTCGGGGCGCCGAATCCACGTCCCGCAGGTAACCGGAGCATCGCCGCCGTCCATCGCTTCAGCTGCCGAATAAAAAGCACTCAGAACGATGGTATGTTTGATGTACTTGTTTGAGAGAGCGATGAATGTTTGTTCCTCTACACAAATGCAATTCAAGTTGACATTGCAAACCGCGTCCGGCGGAATTTTTTATCTGCATTAGACTTTGATCCAATTCATTATATATTTTTGGAATTATTTGAAATCGAGTTATACAAGTATAGTATAAAGTGTGGGTAATAATACAACTATACAGTATCGAATGATCTGCATTTTACTTTGATCCAATTCATTATATATTCCTCTATATATATAAGTATTAATGTGCAGTTGCACCTCGAACCGGCTCTCCACAACTCCTCATCCGATTTGTTCTCTAGAGATCAACAAAGACGTCGGGAGAGGTTCTCGGTGTTAAACCTCCGACGATCAAGTCAGTAATGATATGAAAAGTTATATGAGAAAATATTGGCAGCTTAAAATGTATAAAGTGTGATTAATCTTTACTTTCTCTAAATTTTATCTATTGATATCAAATTATTGGCTTTATTTACAAGTCTTTATTATGCCCGACTGCCCGGAGGCTTGCCCGATTGCCTACACTGCCCAAAAGGGTTGCCCGTCGGTTAATAGGCTACACGAATGTATGCCCGTCAGTTATTTAGTTTTACTCTCGTCCATTAAATCATCTATCTCTTTTATTTGTGATTCTATACACGTCTTTTGTTAACAGCCTGGCCTCGACCTATTATGTTGGTCGATCCATTTTCAACTCGAGCTAATTACATGTTATAATGCTCAAGCTATCATATGTCTGGGCTGTTGGCAAACCTTATTTTTTCGAGTTCCTAATATCCGAGCTATAGTCATTCTTAAATTGTACGAGTTCCTTAATGTTCAATTCATAGTCATTCCTAAATTATCCGAGCTCCTTAATGCCCGAGTTGTATATATACCTAGGTTGGTCAAGCTTACTTGTGTCCAAGCTAGAGACGTGTTCTAGCTGTTTGAGTCACCTGAGCTCTCTTATTCCTAGACCTGCAAGCCTAGCTAGTCTTCAGTCTACAAACCGAGCTGATTGTGGCCGGTTTACCTGAGCTACTTTATGTGTTATATCGTCTAGCCTCCCCCCTCTCATTATCAAACGAGCTATTGTTCTTCGAGTTCAATAGAATTGTTTGATAATAATATTTAAATGATATATATTTAAATAGTATCTCATTCGACCTGAACTTGCGGTAGTGTGTCTTTTTGTCTGTCCCGTTTGTCAGACCCCTCGTATTCCGCACCTAGAGCTTGCATCTGAGCCCTTAGATCTATTCGATCGAATGGCTAATTACGTACCTCCTCCACTATAAATACATTATTAATCCTCAGATTTTTACTTTATGCACTCTGGCATCCTTAAACTCTCTCAAGCAAAAATTCTCTGCAATTTTTTTCGACTTATCCACGAATCCGCAACATTAATCCCTCTTACTTTCGACGACTTTCTCTCCTCCATTTTTGGCTACCCTAAAAAAAAAGTTAATAAACCCTTGTTGTTTTTCAGTATTTTCGTTTAATTTTGTTCTTCATTTTTCTCATTTATCCTCTTTCATTTCTTATTTCCTTCTTTCCGTACCAAGTTTGAATAACTTGCATTTAGGCTGTTAGATCTATCTAGACTTTGCACTTAACAAAGAGCTCGGTCATGGCCGTCGCACCCAATGGACATTATCCAAACTCGAAGAGCTCGGTTTAAGTCGTCACACCCAATGAATAATACCAGAACTCGTTAAAGCTCGGCCTTAAGCCGTCATACCCAATGAACAGTACCCGAACTCGTAAGAGCTCGACCTAAAGCCGTCACACCCAGATAACAACACCCGAACTCGTAAGAGCTTAGCCTTAAGCCGTCACTCCCAATGAATAACACCCAAACTCGTAAGAGCTCGACTTTAAGCCGACAATCACACCCAATGAACAACACCCGAACTGGTAAGAGCTGGACCTTGAACCGAAACTCCCAACGAACAATACCCAAACTCGTAAGAGCTGAACCTTAAGCCAACCGACACTCCTAACGAACAATACCCAAACTTGTAAGAGTTGAACCTTAAGCCATCACTCACCCAATTAACAACACATGCACTCATAAGAGCTTGTGCTTAAGTCGTCGCACACAAACAACACCCAAACTCATAAGAGCTCGTCACACCCAATGACAATACCCGAACTCGTAAGAGCTCGTCCTTAAGTCGTTTCACCCAATGAACAACATCCAAACTCGTACGAGTTCGGCCTTAAGTCATTAATTACACCCACGAATAACACCCAAACTCGTAAAAGCTCGACCTTAATCCATCACACCCAATGAACAACACTCACAGAGCTCGACCTTCAGTTGGTTTGTAGATTCTAATAGCTAGGGGTTTTCGATCTTTGGTTATTTCGTTGTCTTAGACTTAGTTATTGGGTGTTCTTGGCCACACTTGCGTGGTTTTCACATTCGCTACATGTCGTTTAAATTTGTAAGGGCGTGATTGTTTATTAATTCTACAGTAAATATCTCACTCAAAACTCAAATTTAACTCAACTTTAACTCAACCCCACTATCTTTAATATTATTCATATAATTAAATAATATCAACCAATCATTATTACACATCACATCAACTTTAATTCACTATTCATCCACTCACATAATTTTAACCAACTATCACATCCAATCATTTTCTCCTACTTTTACATCAAATCAACTTTAATTAGTATAATTTAAATATTATTTTAATATATTCACTAACAACTAACCATACTACTTTTTTTAAACTTAACTATAGTTCAAAAAAAAATTAATTTTTTTACTAGTTGAATTCATATCCAATCACCCCTAAATCTCTACCCACAAAACCGCTATTAAAGTTCTATAATAACGAGTGAGCAACAAATATCATTAATTTTTTTAGGGAAAAAAAAAAAACCCATGTGGGGCACGTAAGTGGTGACCGCCCGAGCGACACAATCCAGTGAATCCACCCCCCCACAATCTCACATTACTGCGCTTTCGAGGAGAGGACCACACACACTACACAAACCAAATTACATATTTCACACCCAAACCAAATTACCGTGTGATTGAGAGAGAGAGATGATCCTCGGCGCTGCTATGCGGCTGAGCCTCCGTGCTCCATCCACCGCAACCGCCTTATCCTTCTCACACTTCGTCAGCCTCCGTTCGCCCATTCCCTCCTCCGGTCCTCGTCTCTTTCCGGCGAGTCTCCCCCCACACATTCTGACCAAACCCAGAGGACGCCGCCCTAACATCTCCACCGCCGCCGGATTTGGGGTCTCCGTGTTGAATGACGCCGGCGCTACCACCTTGGTCGTCGGTGGCGCCTACGCTTTAGTGTCCACATTCGATAACCTCACTCGCCGAGGAATCATCCCGCAGGTTAGTCTCTCTCTCTCTCTCTCTCTCTCTCTCTCTCTCTCTTTCTCTCTCTCTCTCTCTCCGTCTGACACGCGCACATTTCTGCGGGGGATTGTCTGTATGTGTGTTGATGTGTAAGAGAGAATATGAATGGAGTTTGTTAGACAGTTCATTTCGAAAAAAAAAAAGCATAAAATTAAATGGAAAAATTCTTCTAAACCCTGTTCGGGAAATTAGATCTGATGGGATAATAACTACTCCGAGTTTTTGTTGATATTTTGCGAACTGTGTTTGGGAGATTAATGTTTTACTACTGCTGTAATGAACCATCCCTGTGATCTTATCAAGAAATTCGTCCAGAAAAAAAGGCTTATTTCACCTTTTTCCTCTGTCATATGAGCTCCTATCCTTGCAAATTCAAACCTTATTTATCATTGCCATTATCCTTGTTATCGTTTATGTATTTATGCATTGGTGGGGTTGAGGGTTTAAGATTGGTGGTTCTTAGTGCTGTGATGTATTGCACTAAGGATGCACATTATCTTATGTAACACATTTCCAAATCATAGGTTAGTGACTGAGTTCAACTTGTGAGCATTCTTGATTATATGTGTACATCATTACAATTTTCCTTTTTTTTTTTGTCTTTTCTTAGTTCCTTTTTCAAGAGCTTGAAGGATTGCGATTTTATTGTTTAACATTCTCATGTCATGAGAACTTAGACTACTCAATATGTATAGTCGTCCACAGCTGAGGAAGAGATACATCGGACAGTGTGATCCATATGTTCTCTGTCATTTTGAATATCTCCAATGTAATAACCATTACAGGTGATATATAATGGAAATTGTTGATTTTGTTATCTTCGTTAATTAGGAATGCGGTTGTTGTCAACTGATAACTGGAACAACAAATGATGCTAAGCATCCAGTTAGATAATGCCTCACTCACTGTGCAACTCATAAGCTTTTGTTCTATTAGTCATTGGAATCTTCCATGATTATGGCCGAGAATTTGGAATTCAATATATTATCAATTTATTTGTGAACTCAATGTCATGCGCCAGTTAATGTCACATAAGATGATTTCATATGGATGCAAAAAGATTCTAGTTATTTATATTTGCATTTTTATTATGGAACCTTTTTCTTTATGATGCCCGTTTATGGCTTATTATTCCATCTGTATTACTTAACAGACTTTGAGCCGGAAGCTGGTTCACATATTATCAGGGTTGCTTTTTTTAGCATCCTGGCCAATCTTTAGGTACATTTTGTTTCTGTTGAAAGATCTTGATTCTACATTCTATCCCCTTTTTCACAATTTTATTCCTCCGAAAGTAGCTAACGATGGTGATATTAGATTAGCACATCTACAGGGGCTCGCTATTTTGCTTCCATAGTGCCCTTCATAAATTGCTTGAGACTTTTGATGAACGGCCTTTCCTTGACTACGGATGAAGGGCTCATAAAATCTGTTAGTCGAGAGGGAAAGCCAGAGTAATTCACTCACTACCATCACACTGTCAAATTGTCTTATATATTTCATAGTGAAAATGGATATTCATTTTTCATTTTTTATTTGTGTTCAGGGAATTGCTTAAAGGTCCCCTTTATTATGTTCTTGTCTTAATTTTATGTGCCGTTGTGTTTTGGCGGGAATCCCCTATTGGAATGATTGCGCTTTCGATGATGTGTGGTGGTGATGGTAAGAGGTTAACATCTTCAGATTTAATTTTACTGTAATGTTGTTTAGACCCTTAAACTCGCTCACTCTTAGGTATTGCTGATATAATGGGAAGAAGATTTGGCTCCTTAAAATTACCTTATAATTCACAGAAGAGCTGGGTCGGAAGCATATCCATGTTTCTCTTTGGTTTCTTGGTTACTTTTGGGTACATTCGCAATCACTGAGACTATGTTTGGTAAAACTAGCTGATAACTGATAAGTTAGCTTATAATTTATATGTAATTTTTTAGCTTATAACTTATGACTTATAGCTGAAAAACTAGTTTATAAAATTGTTTGGTAAAATTAGCTGATAAGCTAGCTGAAACTAAAATTTCAACGAGCTTATTTGAAAAGCTACTCAAAAACTTATGAGATAAGCTCAAGCATTTTAAAAAAAGCTCGTCATACCAAACAAAGCTTATTTGAATACAAAAAGCTTATAAGCTAACCAAATAAGTTACAAGCTAGTTTATTTGATTACCAAACATAGCCTGAAACACTTATTCATTGCTTAGTGGTTACTTGTTTGATATTAATGTCACTTTTTTTTTTCCTTCTTTCAATATTTTTTTTCTTAAAAAAATATGGGACTACAGGATGCTCTGTTATTATGCGATCTTGGGATACATTCAACTGGATTGGATCGAAACTGCAAAACGAGTTGCTTTGGTTTCGTTTGTTGCAACTGTTGTTGAATCCCTCCCAATAACGGGAATTATCGATGATAACTTGTCTGTTCCTTTGGTTAGCATAGTTGCTTCATTTTTGGTTTTTGGTTTCTAGCTAATCCCATGGGCAGTCTTCTGTTATTGCATTGCAGTTGTTATTGAATGTCTACTATTTGAAGAGTTTCTTAAATTCTCGATTTCTCTCTCTCTCTCTCTCTCTCTCTCTCTCTCTCTCTCTCT